TTCTCTCTTTTTAATATACAAACATTTCTCTCGTTGGAGCTACTATAACCTCTTCCCTTTATATGTATATATATATGTGTGTGTGGGGGGGTTGTGTGTGTAGGTAAATAGCAGGACAGACTGTGGCGAACGATCGAGTAGGAATTCAAAACCTGCGGAGGACCGTTTTGTGACTTTGTGCCATATCGTGCACCAGTTCTTCGTATTCGGCCCTTCCAAAAAGTGTGGTTGAATGTCCACAAACCTTCAACACTATAATCAAATGATATTTGCGGGTCGTTTGGCTGTTGATTCTAAAAACTGAGCGACTTTTCCGTCATTATACTGAAAAAACAATTTCACTGTTCGACCAATAATTTTATTTTAATATAAACGACCAGAGACTCCAGTATATATATATATATATATATATATATATATATATATATATATATATATATATAAATTAACTGCAGGCTTTCCGACAATTCGTCCAATGAAACCATATTTAACGAAGCTAAAAAAAACAATGAAACTGCCCTCAACCCACCGTACAGCATAAACGTAAAAAAAAACGTAGGAAAAATATTCTTCAAACTCTTACACAAATACTTCCCGGAATCAAGCACTCTCCACAAAATATTCAACAAAAACATAATAAAAATCTGCTACAGTTGCGCCGAGAACATGGCACAATTAATAAAAAAGCACAAGAAAACTATCAACAAACCACCCGAACAAACTAAACCCACGTGTAAAAGCAGATTAATGAATGAATGTCCTTTACGCAGCAATTGCTTACGAAACAACGTAATATACCAAACCACGGTAAAATCACCAGATAATGAGGAAAAAATATGCATAGGTGTAACTGAAAGTCCCTGGAAACAATGAAACTATGTACCCAAAACATCTTTCACAAATAGTAAATACGTAAACAACACAATGCTTTCTAAGTATATATGTTAAATTAAAAGCAAAACGCAAATCACACCAAAAATATCATGGAAAATAAGGAAAAGAATATCATCCTACAAGAATCAATCCAAAACGTGCAAATTTTGCTTGGAGGAAAAAATAGCTATTTTTAGCTTCCCAGACAAAAACATACTACGAAATAAACGATTTAAACTCATCTCAAAATGCAGGAATGAAAATAAATCTTTACTACGTTACATAAAAATCGAAAACTGAAAAGAATAAATAAAAATAAACAAAATAAAAATATGTAAAATAAATTAATCGAAGCTAATAATAAATGAATTAACATACCACTCCCGCCATAACAACTGTTAGAATAAAATAAAAAGAAAAAATAAAAAAATAAAAAAAATACAATCAATTCCAATAAATAAATAAAGTAAATAATAAACTAATTAACAAACCGCCCCCGCCAAAATAACCGTTAGAATAGACTACAAAAATCAATGCAAAAATTCGACGAAAAAATAGCTTCAATTCCTTTCACAGACCAAAAGAAACTATTAAATAAACGATCAAAACTAACCTTAAGAAAAATTTACTACGTTACTAAAACATCGAAAACCAAAAAGAATAAATAAAAATATATAAAATAAAAATCAAGTAAATTAAATTAATCCAAATAAATAAACGAATCGCTCCCGCCAAAATAATCGTTAGAATAACTAAGAATAAAAAATAAATAAACAAAAACATAAAAATAGTCAATCCAAATAAATGAATAAATAAAACAATTAACAAACCACTCCCGCCAATATAACAGTTAAAATAGACTACAGCAATCAATCTAAAAATTGGACGAAAAAATAGCTTTAATTACCTTCCCAGACCAAAACAAACTATTAAATATACGATCAAAACTATTCTTAATTTTTTTTATTGTGTTACATCGAAAACCGACAAGTATAAATAGATATATATAAAATAAAAAATAAGCAAAATAAATTAATCCCAATAAATAAATTAACAAATCGCTCCCGCCAAAATAATCGTTAGAATAAATAAGAATAAAAAATAAATAAACCACTCTCGTCAAAATAACCGTTAGAATGGACTACCCACAATGCACCACTGACCTATATATATAAATAGTCGAGAAAAAACTCGACACATGCGGCCTGATGATTGCGTCTAGCATGAAACAGTCTGTCGCCTCTGAGGGATGACTTCAATGTCCACTTTTATATTTACATACACTCTGTCGCTGATATTGAGCACTTTATTCCATAAACATATTACGCCTTATATTTCTTCATAAAATATATATTTATATATATATATATATATATATATATATATATATATATATATATATATATATGGTGGATTCTCCCGTCGTATTCGACGTATTCGTCGAGCAGCACAGTTTCTAGGAACCGACAGCCTAACACCAGCACATATGATTTGATTATAGTGGTGATGGTTTTGCGCAGAACCATCCACACTTTTTGAAGGCCCAAATACAGAGACCTGGTGCACTACGTGCCACAAGGTCCCCAAACGACCCTCCGCAGGTTTTGAATTCAGAGTTGTCCTTCTCCTAGACCAGTTGCTATCCAAGGCTATAGATCCCAGTCTGTCCCGCTGAAGGGAGAAGATGATAAATATTTTCCTAAAGGTATTAGCACGTAAAACTGGAATTCGAACTCGGCTGTTCGATTCCAGTGTCTCTCTCCACTACTCCACCGTGTCTCCTTATATATATATATATATATATATATATATATATATATTCCTCAATAGGGGTAGATAGGTTCGAATATCGCCTCGTTCACACTCTTCCTAGGTCTTTTGAACAGGAGTAGAGGTTTATCCCTTGTTTTTTTTTTTTAGGTTTCGGGGTTTCGCTTTCTTTTGAAGTTTATTTCAACTCCTAACTTCTATTACACTTCTAATCTATCTATCTATCTATCTATCTATCTATCTATCTATCTATCTATCTATCTATCCCAGCATGCTCATTATCTATCTACATAAGCCTGTTCATATCTATCTATCTATCTATCTATCTATCTATCTATCTATCTCAACATGCACATTATCTATCTATCTATCTATCTATCTATCTATCTATCTATCTATCTCAACATGCTCATTATCTATCTATCTATCCATCTAACTATCTATTTATCTATCTATCTCAACATGCTCATTATCTATCTCAGCATGCTTACTATATCTACCTAAGCCTGTTCATATCTATCTATCTATCTATCTATCTATCTATCTATCTATCCCAGTATGCTCATTATCTATCTACATAAGCCTGTTCATGTCTATCTATCTATCTATCTATCTATCTATCTCAACATACATTATCTATCTATCTATCTATCTATCTATCTATCTATCTATCTATCTCAACATGCTCAATCATGTATCGATCCATCTAACAATCTATTTATTTCTATCTTGTTCATTATCTATCTCAGATGCACTATATCTACCTAAGCCTGTTCATTCTATCTATCTATCTATCTATCTATCGTCTCTCGCTTTCTATCTATCTTGTCTCTCCTATCTCTCTCTCTCTTTCTATCTATCTATCTTGTATGTCCTCTCTGTCTATGCTTGCAAATGTACGAACCTGTCAATCATTATTTTATTTGTTCAGACTGATCGACACAGCAAAGCGGCCATTAATTACATCCTTCTTTTTCGTCTTTTTTTTTCCTTGTTGTTTTTGTAATTATCATTCAAATTTACTATTCTCTTTTTTGCTTTTTTTTTAGTTTTTTTTTTTAATTCCAAAAGCTTTATCGGCGCAACCAGTTTTCGCTCGTTACCAATTGTTTTTGAATAAATCTTTTTAATCCCATAAGCCGATTAATCCCGACTGCGCTACAATAGACGGAGATCCGTACGTCGAGAAAAAATAAACCCAGAAACCTGTACAGAAAACAACATGAAGCACAAATATCTATCGTTTGACGGCTTTGTGGATATCTCTATGGCTGTCATCGTACGATGTTATTTGTTTTTTCTTTCAGTCTTCGGTAATTCGAATCAAAGGGAATTCCATCAAATATTGTTTCTCCATCACTCCAATTATCTATCTATCTATCTATCTATCTATCTATCTATCTATCTCAGCATGCTCATATATCTCTGTCTCTCTCTGCCTCTCTCTCTCTCTCTCTCTGTATATATATATATATATATGTGTGTGTGTGTGTGTGTGTGTGTGTGTGTGTGTATTAGCATGCTCGTAATCTATCTATCTATCTATCTATCTATCTATCTATCTCAGCATGCTCATATATCTCTGTCTCTCTCTGCCTCTCTCTCTCTCTCTATATATATATATATATATGTGTATGTATACATCTATGTCTATCTATCTATCTATCTATCTATCTATCTATCTCATGCTCATGTATCTCTCTCTCTCTCTCTTCATCTCTCTCTCTATATATATATATATATATATATATATTTATATGTATGTATGTATGTATATCTATATCTCATCTCTATCTATCTATCTATCTATCTCAGTCTGTTCATATCTATCTATCTATCTATCTTCTATATCTATCTATCTATCTATCTATCTATCTAATCATCTCATCTCTCTCTCTCTATAACTCTCATTCTATCTACTAAGCTGTTCATATCTATCTATCTATCTATCTATCTATCTATGCATGCTGATTATCTATCTATCTATCTATCTATCTATCTATCTATCTATCCTGCTAGCTAGCTAGCTCATTTAAAATAAACTTTTTATCCAGTGTCGCAGTAATTTTTGATGAGAGCTACCTCGGAAATTCATCTCTTTCTTTGTTCCCATTTGTCTTTTTCAGTGGTAAACGCCGACAATGGTGACCTCCTGTCTTCAGTCGAAAAAACTCTAAAGTCGGAAAATAAGGGCAACGAAACCCCGAAGGTAACAGCTATCACGAAAGTTGACATTCCCTCAGAACACATCCATGACGTTTTCACTGGTGATGACGACAATAGCGAGGAGGAAGTGGAAGAAGGACCCGAGGGTGAAGCCACGGCTGAAAAAAAGGTAACTGATAAAAAACAAACTTGGAATAAGAAAGGAATGAATAATTAAAACCAGAATTATGAAAAATTGAAAAGTTAACGAATGAAAATAAAATAACATTCAAGAGATTATTTTAAAAATGTAGATGACGAAAAAGTAGTTTTATATATTTATTATAAACATTTGTCTTGTAAATGGAATTTTTAAAGCATTCTGAATGTAAAAATAAAGAAAAAAGTGTGCAAGACAATAAGAAACACTACCTGCCAAAAAAAAGTAAAGTTTTGTTGAAATCGGTTGAAAAATGCAGGAAATCCGATCCCATATATAAACGAACACACATATACACACACACACACAAACAACTTGGGTTTTATAATAAGTATAACTCGATATGACTTGTCCCCCTTTCATTCTCGTGATGCCTCTTAATCGTGTTTTCAAATTGATTTCGTGCAAAAACAATTGTGTTTTCCAATTTTTGGCGCTGTTAGAACCACCGCAAGGTAATTTTACATAGTCCTGTGAAGTTTTGTTGAAATCGGTTGAAAAATGTAGGAAATCCGATCTAATATATAAACGTACACACACACACACACACACACACACACACACACACACAATCTGCGTTTTATAATAAGTAAGATGCATTTTAGCCTATGAATTTTTAGCCAATGAAATTCGAACTAATGAATTTTCAGCCAATCAAGATAATAACGGTTTAGTGATGCAAGTCTTACTAATTAACCCATAGCTGGAGGAGGAAGATGTGGATTTATAGCTTTCCCAAGGGTATTTGGGCGTTAATGAATATAAGGAACCTACATATCCAGTCTTACAGCACCTGGTATTCCCAAGCGGTCACCCATATTGTTACTGACCAAGTACCCTTACCCGACCTCAGCGCTAAGGCAAGACGTGACAACGAGGGGAGCCCGTAATATATATCTATGCTTATGGGTCAAGGACCAATTATTTCCAGTCCCCGCGACCACTGTCACGCTGGCATTTATATTAAATCGACCTTCCTTCATATTTGGGGGAGATGGTGCTGGGGGATTGGAATCCCCGGGACTGGGCAAGTTCTCTCATCTAAAATAAGGAGAACCGTCTGCTGCACTTACACCGCAAAAGCTAAGCCATTGTGCCAGGTAGGTATAATACTTACCAGTATAGAACCCGGCTCGATGTTGCTTAACTTCGGTGACGGTAAGGGAACCAATGTTTCAATGTGTTGTGGCCGCAATCCACACCAACTGCATATCCAAGCTTACACCACTTGGGAATCACCAGCGGTCACCCATCAAAGTACTGACCAGGTTCGATGTTGCTTAACTTCAGGAACCAGTGTTTCAACCTGTTGTGGCCGTAATCCACACTACACGCATATCCATGCTTATAGCACCTGGGAATCGCCAGCAGTCACCCATCTAGGTACTGACCAGGTTCGATGTTGCTTAACTTCAGTGATCGTACTGGAAACAGTGTTTCAACCTGTTGTGGGCGTAATCCACACTACACGCATATCCATGCTTATAGCACCTGGGAATCGCCAGCAGTCACCCATCTAGGTACTGACCAGGTTCGATGTTGCTTAACTTCAGTGATCGTATTGGAACCAATGTTTCAACCTGTTGTGGCCGTAATCCACACTACCGGCATATCCATGCTTATAGCACCTGGGAATCGCCAGCAGTCACCCATCTAGGTACTGACCAGATTCGATGTTGCTTAACCTCGGTGATCGTACGCCGGACAGATTTGACCAAACTTAACATTGTCTTGATTGTTTAGTTAAAGAATTTCTTTTCTCAATTTCAGAATATGCCGTCTATTGTTTCCAGTGAGGAATCTGACGAGTCCAGCTTTGATGAAGACCTCAAAGATCTTCAGAAATCTTCCAAAGTCATGGCAAATTACCTTCTTGAGACTGGCAATTTCGAAAGATTTGAGGATGCTCTACGCGACATCGTCAAAGTTGGATTGGTAAGTGAAGGTCCTTCGGCAGGACATGAAATATTTGTTATCTCGCAGCTAGAGGACATCTAAAATCCACATCTTTGTTATTTTTATCACAGGGTTTCGGCCGATATACTCTCAAGCTTCCAACTGTCTAGTGCATCAAAGTGTTGGTTCATGAATCTGGTGACAAAGTAATTATGAGTTCTCCACTTTTAGGGCAGTGGTTAGCACCTGGAATAGCCAACAGTCACCCATCTAGGTACTAACCAGGCTTGATATTGCTTAACTTCAATGATCATACAGGAACCAGTGTTTCAACCTGTTGTGGCCGTAATCCACACAACCGGCATATCCATGCTTAAGCACCTGGGAATAGCCAGCAGTCACCCATCTAGGTACTGACCAGGCTTGATATTGCTTAACTTCAATGATCATACAGGAACCAGTGTTTCAACCTGTTGTGGCCGTAATCCACACAACCGGCATATCCATGCTTAAGCACCTGGGAATAGCCAGCAGTCACCCATCTAGGTACTGACCAGGCTTTATGTTGCTTAACTTCGATGATTGCACAGGAACCAATGTTTCAACCTGTATCCGTATTTCACACTACCCGCATATGCATGTTTATAGCACCTGGGAATCGCCAGCAGTCACCCATCACAGACTACTATTATAGTCATTACGTACCTTGTAATCGTGTTCTTGTGCCAGACACAGCTACCTTGTAAAACCCATTCTTGCGGAAAACTCGCAGCCCGTTAAAACATTCGAGAGTTCAATCCTCAGTGGAGGCATCCCGCATGTGACCTGAACCCAGCTAACCTTAATAAAAAGCTATTATCTTTGAGGAAAGAGGTTGCATAGTGGAAAATAATTCCTCCCCCTCAAGCTGGTGTAAATGATTTTGAACTCTCCTTCCACTTATTTTTACACTATGCAACCTCATTCCCCACAGACGCAATATCACTAGCCTTTCACTACTTTATCGCTTTCCCCCATGGCAAATGACCAGATGTGCACCATTCTTTAGTTCCACCAGTTAGTTTACAGCTATGACAACCTGCTACTTCTACGGAGTCGAATCAACCTTATATCCTTCGTATTCCAAGTGCAAGGAGGAAGTTCGACTCAAATAGCTTATATTTTTTTCTCCAAGAACTGCTACTTTAAGAAACACTTCCATGTGGTTGCTTAAGTGTCACTCCATCCTCTTAATATTAAACTTCTACCACCTTTCATTCATATTCAGTAACCCGCTACCTTGAGTGGCTCTCGTGTCTTGCATCGGGTGAACTTTAGTATAAAAAATCCATTGAAGTCATTTCCACCTAAGTAGTCTAACAAATAAGTTTTCCCTCCCCTTAAGAAAAGGAATTATAGTTTATGTGGTGCAGTCTTTGATTAAATTGTGCCCAGTACGTATTTCGATATGGATGAAAGAGAATCTTCTTTAATATCTTAATTTAAGTAATTAGTTTCCCCCAGTTGCCACTGGATATGCTTAAAGTCTATAATTATGTGTGCAGGGTGATTTTCTTGACTGTTTCTGACTTGTTCTCGATGCAATTGCCACCTCGGAATTGTATTTGCAATTGCCACCTTGGAATTGTATTTGCAATTGCCACCTCGGAATTGTATTTGCAATTGCCACCTCGGAATTGTATTTGCAATTGCCACCTTGGAATTGTATTTGCAATTTCCACCTCGGAATTGTATTTGCAATTGCCACCTCGGAATTGTATTTGCAATTGCCACCTCGGAATTGAATTTGCAATTGCCACTTTGGAATTGTCTTTGTAATTGCCACCCCTGGAATTGTATTTGCAATTGTCACCTCGGAAATGTATTTGCAAATGTCGTGTGCTTTTGTGTAAAAGTCAGTAATTTTTGCATGACATCGTTAAAGGTAGCAAATCATATACTTATAAAATCTTTGATACGCTCGTAGTACAAGTTTTGTTTTAAGTCATGAGATGTCAATTTTAAAACTTGAATGTTTTATTTTTACATTTTTTTTCATTTCTTTTTCTTCTTCTTTTTTTTTGTCTTTTCTCTTTTTGTTTTCTATTTTCTCTCTTTTATTCTTAATCATTTAAAGAAAAACAACAATTTTTCTTTCTCTTTTCTTCTTCATTCTTTTTTTTCTTTTTTACGTCATTTCTTGATATTTTTTTTTTCATTTTCTCATTATTTACTTTTTTCCTTCTGTTTTTTTTTATTTCTCTCTCCAATTCTTAACCCTTTTTATTTTTACTTTTCTTTTTTTATTCTTTCTTTTTGTTTTCTTTCCCTTTCTTTCTTTCTTTCACATCCTTCTTTTCTGTTTTTTGTTTCTTTGTTTCTTTCTTTCCTTTTCTTTCTTTCTTTCTTTTACATCCTTCTTTTCTGTTTTTTTGTTTGTTTGTTTCTTTCTTTCTTTCTTTTACATCCTTCTTTTCTGTTTTTTTGTTTGTTTGTTTCTTTCTTTCTTTCTTTTACATCCTTCTTTTCTGTTTTTTTGTTTGTTTGTTTCTTTCTTTCTTTCTTTTACATCCTTCTTTTCTGTTTTTTTGTTTGTTTTGTTTCTTTCTTTCTTTCTTTTTATCCTTCTTTTCTGTTTTTTTGTTTGTTTCTTTCTTTCTTTCTTTCTTTTACATCCTTCTTTTCTGTTTTTTGTTTGTTTCTTTCTTTCCTTTTCTTTCTTTCTTTCCTTTTCTTTCTTTCTTTCCTTTTCTTTCTTTCTTTCTTTCTTTCACTTCCTTCTTTTCTGTTTTCTTTCTGTTTCTCTGTTTCTTTCTTTTCTTTCATTTTCTCTTTCTTTCTTTCTGTCTTTTTTTCTGTTTCATTTCTTTCTTTCTTTATGTTTTCTTTTTGTTTCATTTTTTATTTGTTTGTTTGTTTCTTTCTTTGTTTCTTTTTGTTTCTTTCTTTGTTTCTTTCTTTCTGTTTTCTTTGTGTTTCATTTTCTTTTTGTTTTGTTTCTTGCTTTTTGCTTGTTTGTTTCTTTCTTTCTATTTTCTTCGTGTTCATTTTCTTTTTTTGTTTGTTTCTGTTTCTTTGTGTTTCATTTTCTTTTTGTTTTTTGTTTTTTGTTTGTTTGTTTGTTCTTTGTTAGTTTTTCCGTTCTTTCTTTCTTTCTTTCTTTCTTTCTATTTTCTTTGTGTTTCATTTTCTTTTTGTTTGTTTGTTTCTTTCTTTCATTCATTCATTCTTAAGTACATTTTCTTTTTCTATTTTTTCCATTTTTCTACTTTATTTTTTACACTTGAGCATTGTTTTTCTTTCCTCTTTTTCTTTTTTCTTTTCTTTCTTCCTTTTCTTTCTTTCTTTTTGTTTCTTTCCATTTTCTTTCTGTTTTTTCTTTCTGTTTTTTCTTTCCTTCTCTTATATCATTTATTTTTCTTTCTCTTTCTTCCTTTCTCTTCGTTCTTTCTTTCTTTTTTTTCGTTGTTCATTTACCATATTTCTTTTAATCATCCGTTTCTGTTTTACCATATTCCCAGATGACTGTCAGCGAGGCTAATGAATATGAGAAGATTGTTTTAGAGGAATACGAAAGACTATTGGCCCTTGAGAAAGCCGAGGAATTTCAGGCAAAAGGTAAACACTGTTCCTTTTACTTATTGTTCATAGATATTCACATACATAAATATAAATATCTTGTTTGAGATGAAATAAAACAATATTTTTAAAATTTTAAGACTGAATTAGTTAAACGTAGAAAACTTCCAAATGATATTTAATTAATTTTGTCATCTAACAATTAAACAATTTTTTTTGTCAATTATACAAAATGCAAATTTTCTAAACGTAGTAAATGAGTCAAATGATATTTACTATTTTGGTCATCTTCGGACTATTATCCTCATTTTGTTTGTCAATTATTACAAAATTTCAAATTTTATCTATATTTCTGAGATGAGGTATTATGTACACTATTTACATTATTCGAACTATTGTCCTCATCTTTGTCGCCATATTTATTACAACGTTTCGGCCCTTTAGTATCTATCTATATTTATGAGATGAGGTATTATGTACACTATTTACATTATTTAGACTATTGTCCTCATCTTTGTCGCCATATTTATTACAACGTTTCGGCGCTTTAGTATCTGTCTATATTTCTGAGATGAGGTATTATGTACACTATTTACATTATTCGGATTATTATCCTCATCGTTGTTGCCATATTTATTACAACGTTTCGGCCCTTTAGTATCTGTCTATATTTCTGAGATGAGGTATTATGTACACTATTTACATTATTCGGACTATTGTCCTCACCTTTGTCGCCATGTTTATCACAACGTTTCGGCCGTTGTACGCTCTGGCCTTCTCCAGGTTGTTGGAATGTCGAACTGAAACCTTTATTTCGTTCACTGAGGTAGACTGTTCTAGTTCCACATGCCATGTCTTATGGATGTCAGTTGTCAGTTATCTCCTGTTAATTCCCCTCCGAAAGTTCTCCACTGCCTTAAATCTTTGGGTCCTGTCACTGGATCTAACTAACGCCTTTATCCTGAACTTATTGAATTTCTTGTTTCCAGGTTTTCAGATGAGACGTTTAGCCATCTTGACACCATTTGTCGTAAGAATCAGTAAAAGAATTCCTTTGAGTTATTCATCTAGAAAGAGAACAGGTTAAAATCATTTTACCTCAGGCCCGCTATATCGTCCCAACTGAGCAATGGCGAGAGGAAAAAGATCATTCAGACCTTCCGTAATGGCACCAACATTCACACCCAGCAAAGTCCATTCAAGAACCATCAAGAGAACGGTGAATAAGTTTAAAAAGATAGAACAGTAGACAGGAAATCTGGATCAGGAGGTCACAACATGAAGAGGGATCATCATTTCAACTTAGAGCTAAATACATTCTTATTGTTCAAAGTAGAGTCTAATAGTGTTAGAAAAACCTCGGAAAATTCCAGTTAGATATATTTAATCATTTCTCATATACAAAGGTACAAAGCTTAATCTAACAATTGGACAATTTTGCTGTTACACCAGGTATATGTACATTCCATAGAAAAAAACAGAAACGTAACTTAGTGGGAAGAAGTCCTTTAGGGGGGTAGAAACGCATTGCATATATTTCTTTTCTTTTTCCTCATTCACTTACTCACCGTAGATAACCCTTTTCTAAACGCATAAAAAATAAAGCTCTAAAGGTCAAACAAAAATAAATTGCTTTTCTTACATATTACAGGCTGCTCAACTTCCGGTAGAATATGCTGAACGCGAGTATGACATTCCTTACCAAGTGAGTAACGATATGTCCTCCGATGAGCAAGCCGACGAATCTATGAATGTCAAGCGGTACATTGCTAGACACCGAGACATGCTGTCTCCACCCACTCGCTCTTACTCAGGCCCAGAATATGCTGATTACACCGAACCCCTCCAGGCTTACAACGGATACGACCCCAATCAAATGGAGTCATCTGAAGCTCAGGATAGCAACGAATGGTTGAACAGACTTCTGGAACAGGCCAAAGCCGCAGGTTCGTATCTTTTGCCCCTAATTCTCATGTACACTGTTTAGATGTGGGACATTCATTAGTTCCACTAGTTCAGTCGTTACTGCTACTTCCACCAAACTGAATCACTCTTATTACCCCCATATTCCAAATAAAAAAGAAGCTCAAACCTAACTCTTTAAGTAGACGTTTGACTAACCACTTGAGTGATCTTAGTTCGATAGGGAAACCCTGAAAGTTTTATACACAACTGCTGGTACCCATAAAAATGCTTGTCGATAATAATATCATTTAAAAACATCTAATTGCAATGTTTAAAGACAATTGGAGCTCTTTTATAAAACACTACAGACCGACACTTAACTTTATTTACTTTGAAACTAACCAAAACATAATCGATGTGTCTGAAGACACACCAACATGGAATTATACATAGAAGTGGGACTTTCTTTTCCGGGAAATTTCTTTTATCCGTATGTGTTATATTACTGAAGAGATCTGACAGTTTCGGGCTAATTGTTTGCTACGATCAAGGTTGTAGGGGGTTTGTAGAAGGCTTTCTATATAAACTGTATTCTTTGAGTAAGCCGAAATTCTTGTTTAATCCTCGAATGTGTTTAATATCTTTCGGCGTTCCTGTTGGCGTTTAAATGAGGACTCTAAAAGAACGTGTCCGACATTATGAATGCTATGGTCCGGTTGATTGAAATGACACACGATTTTACTGTATTTAAACACAATTCTCGACCTTGCTAACCGAAACGCTCCTCTGTGGCCCAATCGGTTAAAGGCACATCAGGCTATATGACGGTTCCGTATAGGATACAGGTTCGATTCCTGTCGGAGGACGCATCTTTTCTATGAAGATTTCTCGGACATTCAAGCCGGTAAATTTTGTTTAATACTGTTTATTATAAACAGAGCATTTACTTAAATATTTGTATATATAATAAGAACGTATAATCATAAAAAAATGTCTTATATATATATATATATATATTGATAATATTAGTGGTCAATATATATATTTCTAAGAGGATAAAATCCAGGTAGAGATCATGTACAGTACAGAGCAAGAATATAATATAAAAGGCTCAAACACTAATATTCCATGGTTATAATTTATTACATTGGAATCGTAATCACGATCCAATTCATCAGACCTACAAATTCAAAAAGAAACTTTCTTTCTTCTTGAATTAGGTCGTGATTACGATTCCAATAAATTATAACCATGGAATATTAGTGCTTGAGCCTTATATATATATATTTATATAACGGTCATTCAAAAATAATTTATTATTTAATGTGGTTTAATAATAGAATCACACAGAGTCCTCAGATTTAAGTCTTAACGTGGTTCCTTCCTTCTTACTATTATTAAGAAGCTAAGATAGCTAAATAACAATAATTGATATATTAAACAAATATTTAATTATTGCCATAAAAGGTAAGGAAGAAAAACCCCGTCAATGGTGGAAAGAGCGATAACAGGTACTGAACACGAGAGACTTATTTTCATAAAAAATTGACTAAGGAGAAAGATTTTTACCACTTTCAACCGACTTCGTCAAAGAATAGTGAATGTTTTCTTATGAGGAAACGATTAACATTGTCACCAGTATTACCATTATTGGCATCGTTCTTTTTCAGAATATCCAGAAGAAAGAGAATCTTATATTGGACATTCCAGAGAAAACTCGCCAGCTGAGCAAGCGAGAATCCGAAGAATAGTTCGTAAGTAGCTACTACCAATATCTTTTTCTGAGATTTGGCTAGGATATATATATATATATATAGTGATTTTTCAAGCGTAGCTAAGATGTGGCACAAGGACGAAAGTAGGAGCAACCAGTGAGGATCGAACTCACAACTCAGTTCTAGCCATTACGCCATATATATATATATATATATATATATATATATATATATATATATAAAAAGTGTATATAAATATAAATAAATATATATATGTATAATTATTTATATATTATATGCGCGGTACTTATTAGAAAGCGGTCAATATCAGAGATAGAGCTAACATATTTGGTTGGATAGATGTGAGTTTGTGACCCTGGGTTTCACGCTTTAGCGATCGTCAGACAAATATATATATATTGAAGATGAAACGGGACTAAAACCTTAATTCAACTTAATTTTAATAATTTTTGGATGGTTTCAACTATCGTTTTTGAGACATGAGAACTCTTATGCAGCGAAGGAATCATAATTTTAAACAAAAAAATATTATTATTATTATTATTATTATTATTATATATATATATATATATATATATATATATATTCTCAATTCTCGGTAGTGGATGCGCACTATTGATGAGTCCCAAATATAGGACGATGTTTCTTCTAGACTCGATGAATTACTTAATTATAATATATATATATATATATGTATGTATGTATGTATGTATGTATGTATTCAAAAGGAGACAAACTTCGGACAATATATATGTATATATATATATGTGTGTATGTTTGTGTGTGTATGTGTATAGGGTGTGACTGTTAAATTGTCGTCTAAATTACACAAGTGAATATAACACTGTCATCTCGTGTTAACAGATGAATTTACCAAAATTATTCAAAATTATCTAGAAATACTAAAGAGTAATTTGTTTCCAATTTTCTTGTGGAGTGAATTGCTCTTTTAATCACATACGGTGCCGAACTGACCTTACCATACTCTGCAGTCGAAAAAAAAAATCAAAAACCAACAACGCGCATGCGTGAAATTAATAATATAAAATGGCGAAAAATTTACCTATCATACCCTGTATATCCACTCGACTCTGACGTAAGTCAAATACCTCCTGCAGTGAATTTTTAGACTTGGAATCATTTAAGGTCACTATTGTAAAAAAAGATCCGTTTATATTTTTTTTTTTTTGATGGTGGGATTAGAGAAGGGTCAGAGTGCATATATAGCAATTAATTTTTTTTTTTTTAATGGAAACATGGTCGCCTTGTACTCTGAGATGTCATCCTGGTTGTCTTCATAGTTACAAGTCTAACGTACGGCTGAAAAAAGCTAACAGTGGGCTTATTTACGCGACATTGCTATTAAGCCGCGATAACACCAGGAAACCCCCGTCGTGCGTTTGAAGCGAGCTCACATCCGCTATCATGTGCTCTCATTTCCTCTAAACTATTAGGATATTGTTCGTGCGTAGACGAATGTTCGGCTTTATCGTGGAAACCTTTCAAGTTCGTTCAATGTCAGCTGATATAGATAGATAGATAGATAGATAGATAGATAGATAGATAGATAGATATAAAAAAAGGCCGACAGACACAATTCATATCTATCTATCTATCTATCTATCTATCTATCTATCTATCTATCTATCTCGCTATACAGGATAGACTGGGTTCTATAGCCTTGGATGGCAACTGGTCTAGGAGAAGAACAACTCTGAATTCAAAACATGCGGAGGGTCGTTTGGGGACCTTGTGGCATGGAGTGCACCAGGTCTCTGTATTTGGCCTTTCAAAAAGTGTGGTTGGTTCTGCAACCTTCACTACTATAATCACATCATATGTGCTGGTGTTTGGCTGTCAGTTCCTAGGAACTGAGGTGCTTGACCCCTCATACATCGAATAGGATGGGAGAGTCCACCATATATATATATATATATATATATATATATATATATATATATATATATATATAATTAATTCTTTATATATATATATATATATATATATATATATATATATATATATATATCATATATATATCAATTTTTTTATATATATATATATATATATATATATATATATAAAAAATTAATTGATTTATTTTTAATCTAACACTTTTATTACTGCAAACATTATTATTTCCATCCTCTGTTAAAACATTTCTCAGATATTTAAATTGTTGTATTTGTTTGATTTTGGTATCCCCAATTTGTAATTTTCATGTTGGGCTGTTCTCTTTTGGTAACAACTGTGCATTTCATCTTCCTGAAACTGGTGTTTAGTCCTTTCTTCTAGCTTTCCTTCATTACCTTCTGTAGGAGTTCTTGTAGTTTCCTTTGCGTGTCTGCTATCAAAACTGTATGATCTGCATATCTTATATTTCTTATTACTCCAAACATTATTATAGTGGGTATTTAAGAACTGCAATAGATGCCCCATTTTGGGCTATTTTGTGGCTATCTGCATTTGATCTTTACTAAGATTTCTTCAATAGTTTCAACCACTTTCAACCATTCTCTGGTCATCAACAGGAACAAAACATGCTATTTTACATCATTTATACTTAGACTGATGTCCTTATTTTTGCTGTAATTGTCATATTTTGGTTGTTGTGCCATCCAGTCTTTAGATTTTGATTCAAAGTTTGCATTCACCTCTTTCTTTCAGGTCACTTTCTTGTACAATTCATCTCTCTCTCTCTCTCTCTCTCTCTCTCTCTATATATATATATATATATATATATATATATATATATAAATAATTAATGGATTTTAAATCTAACACTTTTATTACTTTAAACATTATTATTTCCATCCTCTGTTAAAATACTTCCCAGATATTTAAATTGTTGGACTTGTTTGATTTTGGCATCCCCAATTTGTAATTTTCATGTTGGGCTGTTCTCTTTTGCTAACAAACATATTTTACTTGTAAAAAAAATATCACCGTATTTTCAAGCTTACACTTCGTTCCTTTCTAGTCGTGACATTTTTATTTTTCCTTCTTTAACTTCTTCGCTTGACGCTTTCTTCACGGATGTTCTTTTCCATCCAGATAACATGTTTGATTCGGAATCGCTGTCCAAAAGTTACGCGCCCCGCGTTTCGTCTGAAGAAGACGAAAACGAGGAAGAGGACGAAATGATGGAGCCAATCCCCGAAGAGGTTAACCAGTACGAGTCTGAAGAACCAGTGTCGGCCCTGAAGTCGTTGGCAAAGATGCATAGGCCGGAAGCCAAGAGGGCAATGGCAAAATCTGAAACAAAACACCAGGCGAAGAAACAAGGTGAGCTACAATTCGAATTGATCATATTTTTTTTTTTTTTTGCGTATACTAACTTCTGAACTTTTGTATACACACACGCACACACACACACACACACGGGCGCACACTCACACGCACAAACACACTCGCGCACACACACGCACACACACGTGCACACACATGCACACAAGAACAAACAAGCACACACAAAAAAGCACACGCACACACACTCACACACACAAACACACGCACAAACACACTCGCACACACACGTACACACATGCACACAAGAACAAACAAGCACACACACAAAAGCACACGCACACACACACTCACACGCACAAACACACGCACAAACACACTCGCGCACACACACGTACACACACATGCACACAAGAACAAACAAGCACACACACAAAAGCACACGCACACACACACGCACACTCACAAACACACTCGCGCACACACACGCACACACACATACACACACTTGCACACAAGAACACACAAGCACACACACAAAAGCACACGCACACACACATGTACACTCACACGCACACACACGCACACAAACACACGCACACACGCATACACACACACTCGCGCACACACACACGCATAAACACACGTGCACAAACACACGCACACACACACATATACACACGCACGCAGACAAATACGCACACACACAGACGAACACACATACACACACGCACATCCACAAGAAGAATAATTAAACAGAAGTCACCATTGACTTACGACCTTTACGAGTTACAACTGTTCGACTTTACGACCGCGAATTGGTTTGTAATGGCCACAAAATGCTCCGCCATTATCAGCATGAGTTTTTGCACAGGTTTGCTGATCTGAACTTATTACACTCTACTGTGTCGACGATTTTGAAGGACAGATAAAGAATTTGTAAAGCTATGAAAGGTTCTGCACCTATGTGATCGACAGTTATAACGAAGCAACGGACCGATCCCATCACCTTAGAAGCCCCTAGAATAAGTCGAAACATAATCTTCACCACCCATCAAAATAACGATTAGAATTATACAATACACTACCCACAATGCATCACTGACAGGTACATATAAATCGTCGAGCAAAAACAGAACGCATATGGCCTGATGATAAGCATGAATCAGACCGTCGCATATATATATATATATATATATATATATATATATATATATATATATATATATATATATATATTATTTTAAAGCATTTCACCCCAAGCAAGGCGGGAAGCCACTAGGATGCAAGGGGTTACAGAAAATTTAGAGCAAGATCAGATAGGAGTGATAGAAGAAAGGATGAGGGTATTGGATAGATAAAGGCAACTGGAGATGTCGATTGACATTACACTTGAATAGCTGGAGATTATAGCTCACAGTGAAACTAGAAGGGAGTTCCACAGGCGAGAGGTGCGAGACATGAAGCTATTAGAGTAGAAGAGACGGCTACATTTAGGAGTTTCGACAGTGAAGGGGTGAGAGCGGGATGCCAGCCTATATATATATATATATGTGTGTCTGTTTATATTTCTGAGATGAGGTATTATGTACATTATTTACATTATTCAGACTATTGTCCTCATCGTTGTCGCCATATTTGTTACAACAAATATCTTTTATCCACTGTGTCACAAGGATACATGGCACAGTGGATAAAGGCGTTGGTTAGATCCAGTGACAGGACCCAAACAGTGTGAGTTCAATACCCGGTTAAGGCAGTGGAGAACTTTCAGAGGGAAATTAACAGGAGATAACCGATAACTGACATCCATCAAACATAGCACGTGGAACTAGAACAGTCTACCCCAGTGATCAAAATAAAGGGTTCAGTTCGAAATTCCAACCACCTGAAGAAGGACGGAAACGTTGTAACAAATATGGCGACAAAGATGAGGACAATAGTCTGAATAATGTAAATTATATACACACACACACACACACACACACACACACACACACACACACACACACACGGTGGAGTAATGGATAGCGGCTTGGATTGAGGAATCGGAGAGCTGAGTTCGAATTCCAATCGAATCCAGTACATTCACTTACGTGCTATTAACCTTGGGAAAGGCGTGACTCCTCTTCTTCTCCCTCCAGGACAGACTGGGTTTTATAGCCTTGGAAGAAGAACGACAACTCTGAATTCCAAACCTGCGGAGAGTCGTTTGGGGACCCTGTGGTCATTTTGGAATCAACAGTTGGTCGAACAGCTCAGCTTTCCCCTACCAACACTTTGTCTATCTACTCATCCCGATGTCGTGGGTGGAAATACGAATGAACGACACTGGAACCATACAATAGACAAGTTCGTCTCCTGCCAAGATGTGGGAGCAGAACTCTCCCCCTATCTGAAAAGCATTTGTATTAAATCAATATCCGGATATACCATATTTCCGGCTTTACTGCCACTTGATCTCCAAAAACGCATTATTTATAGTATCACCCGTACAATCTATTTTTTTCCTTTTGTAGCCCAGACTCAGAAAAGTATATAACACTATTTGTTTAATTTTCTTATAGTTTCATTTGTTTATTTTATTTTATTTTGTAGACGGGTCTGCCACAGAGAGAAAGAAGAAGAAGAAGACGAGGAAGGTGAAATAAACTCTCCCTCGGAGAAGAAACTAGCGACTGTGAGGAGGGTCCAGTTTTTTTCGTTACTGACCTTGCACAGCATCCAGCCATATAGTGATTTGATATTATGCAACTATCACCAAGAGCATCATTATCATTAACAACAAAAACAACAACAACAGCAACATCTCTAAAGCAGATTAACACTAATCCCTGTTACTACTAAGATTCCTACAATATCTTGAAGGCAACTAAATACGCAAATAGGGTTGAAGGAAAACGAGGAAAAGACGATAAAATGGTTGACGGGTTTTTTTTTTGTTTTTTTTTTTTGTTCAACGTTTCTTCATTTATAACAATCTTCATTTTCTTTTTATTTTCCCCCTTTTTTTTCTTCTTCGTCGCGTGGTTTCTCTGTGAATACTTCAGAAATCAGTGTCACAGTTCGATTTCAAATGACTGATAATATTTTTTTATGAATCGTAGAAGGATATATAGAAGATTAAAAAAAAAAACGAAAAAATGACTGAGATTGACTACTGATGAGGAACAGAGAATGGACTGGCTCCAAAAAAAAAAAAAACGAAAAGTAAAATTAAAAAATATTAAAAATATTAAAATCAAAAAAAAAAAGTAAAGAAAAAATAAAATAAAGAAAAACATATTGTAAAAATATATATATATATATATATATATATATATATATATATATATATATATATATATATATATGTATGTATACAAAATGGTGGAGTTAAAAAATAATAAATAAACTAAAAAAAAAAAAACGAGAGAAAAACATCTTGAAGTAAAAGACGGAGTCTGGATTTTTGGGAAAAACTGAAAGAATGGTATTTGTATTAGACGGAACGCCCTGTAACAGAAAAGACGGAAAAGGAGAAAAAAATAAAATAAAATAAGCCATAAACATTAATATAAAATGTAGAACATTTGAAAACAATATCAAAAAAAGAAAAAAAAACAAACAAACTGCAACGAAGGAAATGAAAAGAAAAGGCAGAACAAAATTCTAAGCAAAAAACAGACACAGAAAAACAGGACTAGAAATCTTCAATACAATACTTTTAATCCAAAAGATTTATCATTTCCATCGAAATACTAAAGTAAAAAAATGGACAAGAGGAAGAAAGAAAAAAAAAAAAAAAGAAGCTAGAATACAACAGTTCATCTAGTGTATGCATATTCGATAATCGTAAAATCAAAAACGTTTATAAAATGGCCAAAAATACCCCCCCAAAAGACCCCCCAAAAAAACAGAATATAATGAAATTATAACTAAAATTGAAACAATAAAATAAATTGACAATTTTACCAGCTATACTAATGATTTCAACACGAATGCATTAGTGCCCACTTGACACTTCGCAAAATTATGGAAATATTTTTTAAATAAATAAATTTAAAAGACACCCTCACATTCATGCACATTCTTAATTGCATTACATTATATATATATATATATATATATATATATATATATATATATATATATATTCATTCATACACACACACACATACATACACCCACACCGATATATATATATATATATATATATATATATATATATATATATATATATATTTATATATATATATATATATATATATATATATATGGGTAAGTCAAAAATAACAGTAATTCCGTACTGTCGTCATAATATATCTTTTGACTTTCCTTCCTATATATATGTGTGTGTGTGTTATATATGTGTACACACACACACACACACACACACACACACACACACACACACATATATATATATATATATATATATATATATATATATATATATATATATGTTGAAACTTGATTAATGCATGGAATAATAATACAACACAAAATGTACTTAGCACAAAATGTATTGAAACAAGAAAGTGTACACAATATTTACATATAGTCTTTTGGTATATTCTTGGGAAGACCTTTCCTGGAGAATGTGACTTAGTCGCAGGCAGGCAGAGTCTTTGGATTGGATCTCTCGATTCCTTCCCCAGTACCAACCATATTTATATGGTCGGTACTCCACTATGTAAATTAGGTGGATCCTACCACAAGAATATATATATTTATATATATATATATATATATATATATATATATATATATATATATAATACTAAATTGTAATTGGTAGGGATTATTCCAAAGAGGACTTTCCTGTCCATATGGGAGCTCAGTGCATGATACAGAGCAAATTATATATCTATCTCTCTTTCTTTCTCTCTCTCTTTCTCTCTCTCTCTCTCTATATATATATATATATATATATATATACACACACAAACAGATATATATATATATATGTGTGTGTGTGTGTATATATATATATATATATATATATGAAATGGGATCAAATATGGATTAAACTCCAACACAATGATAAAATAAGGGACAAATAGGAAACGTTTATAAATTTATAGAGTCTTGCTTTATTTAAGCCTCATCTGAAATTTGGGGGAATGATAAACCAAAGCACTCGAAATTCCCCGAACCGAATGAACACAC